TTGTCAAATTATTAACTGCTAACCTTGGTCTGAATAAATATCTGGTCATGAATTGGTTCAAGAGGATTTCAATCTAAATTGTCTAAAACACAGAAAAAAAATAGCTAGCGTTGCACTTGAATAAGTGTAAGAACAGTAATGGGTGAAAGGTGTTAGTAGTCCCTGACCACACCTTATCTGGAGTATGTGCTATATGTTATATGTGGAGCTACTGTAACAGAACTGAAGCTGTCTTCTGCCTAGAATGCCTACGGCTAAATTATATACCTATTGCACATGACAGCAGGAATGCTGGTATTAGTTACTAAGAAAAGAATGTCAGAATTTACATTGAGATTTTTCCCTAGCAAATTAAATAATGTGCAATTTATCCAGCTGTAGAACAGTTTTCGGCTCGTGTTATGTAAAACAAGTAAGAGGCAGCCGATAATGATGGATTCACAGTTAAAAACTGGTTTGATCAGGTAGTATTATTATTATTATTATTTATTAGGGCATGGTAATGATTACCTTTGTTGCTGAATTAAAGGGAATGTAATGTTTTGTATATTTTATCTTTAGCATTCGTTCATACCTCTGCAATGAAACATTTCAGAGGTGCTGCAGGGTGTGTTGTGGTGCACTATGGTAGGGCAGCCCATTCATTTGAAGTGCATGCACCTTTTTTAAAATCACATTGCATGGTAATAGGTTTCCATGCAATGTGGTGCAATACAATGCAAATGCAATGCCTAGGTGGGTTGGAGTGTCATCAAGAAATAAGGACACTGTATCACACCTAACATCCCAACATGCAATATGGAGGAGGAGCGAGATCTCGCGATATCGAGCGGCAAGACGCACGATTTTCGAGCGGAAATCCGCTCAGTGTAAATGGGGCCTAACAGTGATACTGAGTATAACAGCCAAAACAACTTGACGGCTTTTGTAATGTCATTATTGTATTATAGAATTCAAGACACTATGGTGCTTGGTGTGCTATAGTGATTGTGATGTGTACTGTAGGTTGGGCATTGTTCCATAAATACCTCTGTAATTATAAATATTTCATATTTTACATACCTGGAAGATTATTAATTAGATCATGTTAAGGCCTGTTGCACAGCTAAACAACACCTCTTCATGTTCTAACCATTTTATTGGATGTAATTGCACAGTGACTCATTGCTTCAGACATTTCAGGCCTCACTACATCGACTGATGTAAGGATTTTGTTACGTTTAAATAAACAAAAATACTATCCAGCGTGAATATTTTGGGGCTGATTTATTGAGAAGGGCTAAAGCCAAATGTTCAAACCTTTGTCTGTGTATTCTAATGACCATTGTCACCAGAACTGTGGCGGAAAATCGGAAATGTTGAGCTGTCACAAGGCCAGACATACAGTAGCAATCTTGCAAAGGGGATACCTGTTACAGTGACATCTGTCTGAGAGGGTTTCCCCTACGTTTGAGGAGATCTCCTCTTACTTGTGTCCAAAGACCAGAAGTGAAGAATCTCCCCGATGGGGAACAAGCAGACGGAAAAAGAGAAACTTGAGAGGAGTTTTAGCCATTCCTTACTGTATCAAAAATGAAATAATAAACTTTTGGCTTCAGATATACACTGAGTGGCCAGATTATTATGACCACCTGACGTTTGTAGGCAAATTAGCTATAATTTCGCACTAAAGTTGCTAGAGGGCCAGACCATTATAAATAGGGAAGCAGGTTGTTTACCACGACAGTAGAAGGGTTTTGTTTCTGAAGATATGGGTAAACAACGCGATTTAACAGCCTTTGAACATGGGATGATTGTTTGCGCTCAAGCCATGGAGCAAGTATCAGCAAAACAGCAGAATTCGTTAAATGTTCAAGAGCAGCTGTTGTTAAAGTGTTTAAAGACTGGACTGTCAGCCGAAAATCTGGGTCTGAACGTGCGAATTGTGGCCGTCAGCGAGTAGTCAATGTTAGGGCAGAACGGAGAGTGGCAAGACTGGCACAAGACAACAGAAGGGCAACAGTGCAGTGTCAGATACCTCGCATCACCTTTCAACATCTCGTGGAGTCACGAGGCGGCCCAACAAAGTCATCTCGTGGAGTCATCTTGTGGCCCAACGAAGTACTGATGGTGTGGTCATAGTAATCTGGCCACTCAGTGTACTTTAAAATATGACTACAAAACTGGAGCTGTTGTCCGTGCAATGTCCGATTAGAATTCATGTTTTAAAAACAACTCCAGGATTTTTTCAGATTAACTGTTGAAGTGATGCTACCCCTGCACTGCAAGGGTTAAGTACTCCTGATCCTTCGGTCCCCTCTGGGTGCTAGACCTGTCCCTGCAGCCTCTTCACCCCTGAGCACCAGCGTTCTAAAGTCCTGTGAGGTTATCATATCTAATGCAGGTCTATTAGATGTGAGGACGCTGAGGGATATACCAAAGCACATCGGAGAGAGGTGAGTGGTCACTGCTGCAGGACCGAGGATCAGGTGAGTGTATCTTCTATTTTCTCCCCTAGACCAAAAAGAGAACTCGACCCTTACAGTGTGCTGGGCTTTGCAGGCCGCAGAGCCCCCTACAGATCCTGCAAAGCCCCCCACGGATCCTGCAGAGACCCCCTGAGACTCTGCAATCTGCCGGATCTCAGGGAGGCTGTGCGGGATCTGTGGTGGGCTTTGCAGGCTGCAGAGACCCCTACCGATCCTGCAAAGCCCCCCACGGATCCTGTGAACCCCCCACGGATCCTGCAGAGACCCCCTGAGACTCTGCAATCTGCCGGATCTCAGGGGGGCTGTGCAGGATCTGTGGTGGGCCCTGCCAGCACAGTCGTCCTCCTACCTGGAACTGGAAAAAAGGCCTCCTCCGCTGCCTCGGTACCCAATCAACGTTGCTTCTGGAGTCTCCTCCATCTCCAAGCGGTTTAAACTTACCTGTGTCTTCGCTGCGTGCTCCTGTCCGAAAATCTGAAAACTCTTGGGCGGCCGCAAAACATCTTGGGGCGGGTGCATGTGCAGTTCGGATTTTCGGCTGGGAGACGAGGAGAGACACATGGTAAGTCTATGGACGCGTGCACCCGTATGCAGACACCGTAGGACAGGAAGTGCCAGCATGGACAGAGGAGTCAGCGCTGGATCGGAGACCCACAGCAGCGCTGGAGAGAAGGCTGAAAACGACATGAAAGAAGAAGAAGATCAGATTAACCCCTTCATGACTGAGCTTGTTTTTAGTTTCTGTTCGTAAATGACTGACACACTTACAGCTCAGTATAGAACCTGATTTTGATTTTTCCCAGTGTTATTATAGGTTATATCACATAGGTTTCTTTTTTCATCTTCCGAATGATTAATCATATAACACTTCAGTTGTATTATTCTCTTGTTGGTGAGCAGGGGGAATCATGTTCTTCAGTCATAATTTAGCACAAGGCTGCTTGTCAGATTAAGATAATGTTGCGGTGCAACATATTTTATACAAACACATTCTTCCTTATAGTTTTCAGGGAGTGGCAGCAATTGGTTAATGCAGAGAAAACATTAATCAAAAAAATACAGCCTGCAGTACTGTGCTATGAGGAATTTGGCTTAATTATTTTTCTTACTACTTAAAATCATAATTATACATTACTGCTTCGAGGCAAGATCATATGTTGCCTTACCTACAAGTTGTATAATAAAACTTAAAAATCTGATATGCGTGTTTAAACTTAAAGGAGAATTATGGGGAGAATGAAATACACTCATCCCCATAATTAGAGCCGACGTGTGACACTAAAGCTGTCACACATCGGGTCTATAAATCGGGAACTGAGCGTGGTGAATGTCAGTCACCGCTCCCTGCAGGCATTTCCCCCTCTCCTCTCCATTCCTCCAGCGCTGACTGGATGGACGGACAGGTGGAGGGGGCGGACACAGCTGGCTCTGCCTCTAGATTGGCAGAGCCAGTTTTGTGACATCCGTGTCTGTTCAGTTTTTTTCTCTTCACCTTGCAAAGGAGGAAAATAACTGAGCTGTACAGACCCATGTTATGGAGAGTCAGATGTAAGCAGACATGTTATCAGAATACCTCCGATCCATCACAATCAGGTTCGCCACATTAAGCTGTATTCCTTGTTCTTTCTTTCGGGCCTAGATGGAGTTGGGGTAGTCAGATGTAAATGGATGCACATGCATTTAGATCCAGCTGCCCTTAGACTAACATTGGTCTTCTGATCAGATCCACCTGAAAAAAATGATAGGCAGATGTGATCGGACTGCCTGTCTGAATTGGTGGCCGTAAAGCTTCAGAATCATTGTTTTTCTTTACCTTCCCAATTAACATACAGTATGCCAATACTATTTCTATAATTATTATTATTATACAGGATTTAAAAGAGAAATATGGGGTAACCTTTTTTCCCATAGTTCTCTTTAGATACTAATGTCCTCCTGTGACCCAAAACTCAGTACATAGCGGGTTATTGCCCACTATATACTGAGAGCTCCGCAGCCAGGAGAACACTGTTGAGATCCACCCCACTGGTTGATTGACAGCAGGCTCTACCTATCCAGAGGCAGAGCCAGCTATGCCCGCCCCCTCCCCTATCCGTCCCTCCAGTCAGTGTTGGGGGAACAGAGAGGGGAGGGGGGAATCCCTGACAGTCACCACTCTCTACAGGCAAGTGATCGGGGAGAGAGCGAGCGACGGTATGTGGTCGCTCACTTCCCAATCAATAGAGACGACGTGTGACAGTTTCACACAAGGATCGGCCAAAGCTACGGCTGGATCCTTCGGCTCTTTAGTGAATAACCCTGTAAGTGCCTCGAATGGAGACCAAAAACAACACCTAACAGTGGTCTTAACCCTTTCCTACTCTTACAAAGCTTAAAAAAAAGTTGTGGCTTTTCATACACTTTAACCTGGCTGATGAACAAAGGATAAATCCTGATGTTACAAAAAGGAGGCTGTGACGTTTTTAAAAACTGTTAACTTCAATACAACCTAAACTTATTCATTTCTAAATTGTAATTGTTTTTTTTTTCTAGGCCGGACCTGATTGACATGGATACCGTTGCTGTTCAAAGCAACATTACAAATTTAGAAAGTGCTTTTTATGTAGCAGAAAAACTGGGTGTCACAAGACTTTTGGATCCTGAAGGTAATTTCATATCTTATAGAAAGTGTGAATGAACAGAGTCAGGACTGCAATAATCCATGCAATTTCTTCTCTTTTATTTTGTAGATGTAGATGTTTCTTCCCCTGACGAGAAGTCAGTGATTACGTATGTCTCTTCAATGTATGATGTTTTTCCCAAGACACCAGATGGTGGGGAAGGAATTAGTGTAAATGTAAGTAGTAAAGATGTTATATATTGTGCATTAAAAAACTAACATGGATACGCTTGACTTAAATGATGAATCTCATTATTATAAAAGCTAAGATTCCTTGCATGTGGTGGTTTTCTATATTGCATCACTGCAGAGGAGTCCAGAAATTAGAGATTATTTAGCGTTATTAGAATTATGAAAGTTTCCTGGTTATGGAAAAAGCTAAACAGAGGCTTTGCATAATAGACTGATTTATAAGGACACATTAAATAATGCTAAAGCAAAGCTATCTGTACACATACTGTTTTATGTAATAATTGCCTCACGTAAATCACGTGTTATTACTGTGCTTCTTACATGCAATGGAGAGTTAATTTTTAAGAAACTTTAATTTGTTATTCTTTTTATTCTCATGTAAATTTAGAAATTGTGTTTGGAATAGTAGTAAAGTGTGTGTCAAGCCAAACACTTTTTTTTCTAGTTTTGAAAAGAGTGGAAAGGATTAGAACTCCCGTTGGGTTTTTACTGCTATACGGAGATCTGCTTCTCCTGAATTTTTTTCCTTCTGACAACATTACTTCTCAAAGTGAGGGAAATTGTGCAACAGGGACACAGTCCAAAATGAAAGGGGTTTGACAGGGTTCTAGCTTTCCCCTGCTCTGCTAAAGAAAATATTTTTTAATTCTGTTTGTGTTGCTGTTGGAGAATTACCCTCACTTACAGTCTGGTAAAAGATTGTCAGTTGGACAGGACGTAAGCGTAAGCTCTCTAATGGATAGCAGTAAAAATCTGAAAGAAGATCAAAGCCTTTTTGATTGACTAATGCACTTTAAAAAACAAAACTGTGCATCACATATATATCTAAACCTATCTATATCTAAACCTTCAGAATTAGTGCTACAGTACAAGAAAAAGGAGTATGCTAATCACTAAAAAGGCTAGGGGGGCACAATATCAAAAAAGCTATTAAAAGACTTTGAACAATATTATTTGGAATGTGTGAGTTGCTTTAGAGCACAGAAGAACCATGCACAACTGGGTTCAACCTGAATGGGAGCAGCAGAGGTGGAGCTGGATCTCCATTAGAGTGATGAATGCTAATTGTTTGTAGATCTTTTCAGGGACAAAGCATAAAACAGCAACAATGAATAGTAATGTAGACAGTGAAGTCATAGAAATCTCACATTCTAAGAATTTTGCATAAGATGAAAATAGACTCAAGATCAAAACTGATACTAAATGGAGTTCTAGAAATGCAATAAAAGTTTATTTAAAAAAAACAAATATGCTCTAAGATTGCAGTTTAGAAGGCCTTTCAGATGCCTTTTGTGACCTTTATAGAGCCTTAAAGTATAATTATTTTTTTAGAGAAAGCTAAGGTTAGACTGATGTCAGGTTTATAATGCTGTCTGCGTCTGTGTTAGAGATATTCAGTGGAGTAACAGATCACAATACATAGAACTTCTGTATCATACAAATGGAGGATTAGACTTGAGATATTCCTTTACTTTCTGTGCAGGAGACAAGGGTTACAAGTAGGGATGCACAGAAACCATTTTTTAAGTATCGAGTACCGATATTTTGCTTTCGGTACTCGCCGATAGCGGGCAATCAGGAAGCTGGATGGCGTGTAATGACATGTCGCCCCGCTTCCTGATTGCCCGGGAAGCCTGCTCCATGTTGTTTGGCTGGCTGGATTGTGATTGGCCGGGAAACCGGCTTCCCAGCCACTCAGCATCAGCATCAGGCCAGCTTCCCAGCCGAACAGGAAGCCAAGCGGCGAGTAATGACCCACCTCCCGGCTTCCCGATTAGCCGGGAAGCCGGCTCCATGTTGTTTGGCTGGCTTGATTGTGATTGGCTGGGAACCCGGCTTCCCAGCCACTCAGCATCAGGCCAGCTTCCCACCTGAACAGGAAGCCGGAGGCGAGTAATGACCTTCCCCCCGGCTTCCTGATTAGCCGGGAAGCCGCCTCCATGCTGATTGGCTGGAAAGCCGCCTTCCTAGCCAATCAGCAAGGAGTCGACTGTTAGGCTAATCAGGAAGCCGGGAGGTGGGTCATTATTTGCCGACCAATTTCATGGTCACACGAGAAGCTGGCATGTTCCCCTACAGCACTGTTGGTCAGAGGAAATCTTCTGTTCTGGTATCCGGGAAGGTATCGGAGCACTCGCCAAAATACTCGGTATCGGCACCGATACTAGTATCGGTGCATCCCTAGTTACAAGAATGGGAAGTGTTGGTAAATCTCTGGGAAATTTCCTCAACAGGGCCAAAGACAGTACTAAAAATCAGACAAATTGGGCTGAAGTTCCAGCATACATCCTTTTAGATGCAAATGTAAACTTTACTGTTATATGTTTTCATGTGCGTTTTAGTCCCTTTTCTGTTTGGTATTAAACAACAAGAGCTATATTCTAAAGTTAAAGTTCAATTATTGTTGGTACTGAGTTGAACTGTTTTTATACTGTTTTAAATAAATGCCATTGTTCCATTGCTGTAGGATGTTGAAGTGAAATGGATAGAATATCAGAATATGGTGAATTACCTCATCCAATGGATAAGGCACCATGTAGCATTGATGTCTGAGAGGAATTTTCCCAATACTGTTGTAGAACTAAAGGTAAGGCATTTTTGTGATGTACACACCATATTACACTGTACCTACTGGCATGTAAAATGTTTTGTGGTATACATTTAATGCTTATTTTTATCTGAATATTTGTTTTATATCTACAGGCACTTTATAACCAGTATTTACAATTTAAAGAGAAAGACATCCCACCAAAGGAAAGTGAAAAGGCTAAGATCAAGCATCTGTACACAATGTTAGAAGTAAGTATGACTGTTGTATTTTAGATTAGGTAAAGGACACATGGAGTACCAGTCCAACTTTGTGGAAAGACCACATGGTCTTGGGTGTAGGTGACAGCATTTCATAAAAGAGGGCGATAGGGATTACACAGAGATTACATGTATTTTATATATGTAATTTACATGGAGCTGTGGAGGAGCAAAGCTCTGTAGACAAAGTACAGCAAAGTAAACATGTGGTGTAGTGCATCCCTTTGAAAGATGATATTACTAGACTTCTGTGAACCCAGTGGAATCAGACATGTCTCCAGATCAGTTGTTACCCTGATTTACAGTACCCCACTGGTATATAGTCTATAATGGGCTGCCCCTGATCTCTAAATCTACTAATCTACAAGTAGCCTAACATTTCACCATTATAGTTCGAGAATTACCTATAAATCAGCAGTATGAATATCAACACCAGGTATGTTCACCTGTTGGTGTGAACTTCTGAAAAGGTTCCACGAAAATTAGGTGTTGGTTTTTAGCACCACATTTAAGTTATGGCTAGAACGCCTTGTAAAAGAGACTCCTCTTAGCTTGTAATGAGGTGTAATGCCAAGTAGTTTATACTAAGTATTAGTAATAATACATAGGACTAGTGATTTGTGTTAAGCTAAACATTGGTAATTGTTTCTATAAAAAATTCAGTTTGTTATGGTGTTGTATGTCAGGTGCTGGGGCCCCACTACAAACTCTATCAAAGTCTGCATTGAAAATTGTTTTCCCTAAATGGGTAAGCTTAGTGGGCATTTGGGCATAATTATGTGTTGAAGCATACTGCATTATTTTTCAGTTACCAAACCATAGTGTGAACTAACCCGATCTTTAAAATTTTTGTCTTTATTAAGCCATGGATTGAGTTTGGACGCATCAAGCTCTGCCAAGGATACCATCCAAATGATATAGAAAAAGAATGGGGAAAGCTCATCATCGCCATGTTTGAAAGAGAGAAAGCAATAAGGCCTGAAATAGAGAGGTACGTAAAAATGTGGACTTACAAATGTGGTTTTAGCTTAATAAGAGCCAGCCACAGTTAAACTATGGACTATTCAAATGTGCTCCTTTTTTAGCATTTAGCTTTATTTACTTTATTCCTGACACTTCAACTGGAGTATCATGGGTCAGAGGTTACCTGAAGTCTGAACGTTTCTGCGAACTGTCACCCTGTCCTCTGACTGCTGAGTGTGCATAAAAGCATTTGATGTATACTGGGAGATCAACCCCCGAGAGTTATATATTTCCTGAAAGCAGAGACCCTGTAGAATAAAGTGTTGGCCGTAGCAAATATTTACTTTGCACGATATTAGCACAGCTTTTTACCAAACCCAAACATTTAGTAAAAAAAAAAAACTTACGGTAATTTTAGTGCCCAAAAACATGATATAATACCCAATTTGTTTTGTAAAATATAAAAGTTGACGTTATGATGAGAAAATATATACTCAAGTAGATACCATAGGCAAAGCTTTAATAGCCTCTTCAGGTCATCAGTTTAGATATATAAATATAATATACTAATATATTTAGAATTATTGCTCTCACTCTGGCACATGCGGCAATACCCAACATGTGTAGCACAATAGTTGTTTTCGTACGTAGGCACACCAGACGAGTGTTTACGGTAATATGATTGTGGAGGTGGCGGACTTCAACAATTTTTATTTACATTCATTTAATTTAATTTAATTTTTTAAAAACTTTTTCTTTTTTTAACTTAACTTAAAGGAGAACTATGGGGTCAGTGTTTTTCCCCATAGTTCTCCTTAGGGTAACGTGAGGACACAAACTAGCGTCCTCCTGTTACCCTAAGCTCAACACATACAGTATCAATCATCAATTAGACCCCAGTGTCACCTTGCCACTCCAAAGAATCTATTGGAGTGCGGATTGCACTCCGATAGCTTCTTCCCCGGTTTCTGCCACCGTCCCCTGGGACGGTGCACTGCGACAGCCACTGGAAGCCATCTGCCCGCAGCTCACCCGCCAGAATCGCTTCCAGTGTAAATTCAACAGTTGGCTTTACACATGTGATCATAGTCTGTTTAAAGGGGCCACTGTCCACAATGTATGACATACGTTGGTGGCAGTGAAAGGGTTAAATACAGCAGCACCACCACCCAAATCTGATTAGTTTCAACTTAAAAAAGGCTATTTCAGTAGATTTTGCTGTGACACATGATCTTTTAACAAGAGGTAATACGCTTGAATTGCCCTGTGGAAGTAGCAGTCACAACAGATCTAAAAGCTATAGGAAAGTCATATGCGTCATATACATTTTCCAGTGGCAAAACAATTTAATACTATAGTTTGTGATCTTCATTTTCCACAGTACCTCACTGGATTGTTAAAATCCCCAATTTCGCAGTTATTCCAAAAATATTCAAAATATAGACCAGGTATGTGTTTGGTAGAAATTGGCTAGTAGCAGGACTGTACGTGCTCAATTGAATAGGCAGCAAATAGAAAAGGACAAGATGAGTTGGGCAAATCTGCAAATTCTCTTCTTTGCCAGCATATTCTTTCTCTTCTCAGGCACTCAGTAGCCAGTCGTATTTTTTTTTTTATATTTACTTATTTCATAATAGTCAGGTTGCAGCAGGGGGGAACCTACAGCCATAAGCTACCTTCCTGCCGCAATGTGAGGGAAGGACAGGCATCAGCAACAGGGGTGAGAAATCCTAAGGCCAAGGGGAAGGGCAGGCAGAGCAATTTTCTTTAAGTTTATAGTTTTATTATTTAAGTGTTTGCAGCACCTCACCGAATACTTGGGAAATTAGTGTGCACCAAAGTTCCACATATTTATTCTCCTTAATGCCATCGCTGCCATTAAGCTTAGGCAATCCCCTTTATTAAAAAAGGAAAACCCGTCAGGCAGCCCTAAAGTGAGAGGCAGAACGCACATGGAGGTAGTTGGAGGAGAGCTGGTTCTACAGGATCAATCATTGGCCGGGTGGCATCTATTTTAGAATGGTCGTGCTTAGTAGGTGGTGAAGTGGCTGAAAAGCCTTTCTTTACTTCCTTCCCCCAGGCACAGAGCTGCCAGTTATTTGCAAGTGCTGTAAATGCCGCCTTTTCCTTCACTTATTCTGCTAATCTTGCCATAGCGCCGTAAACTGGCTATGAGAAGTCTGCCAGAACTATTTGATCACACAGTCACTGACTTGCTGTAGGAGGATGATCTTGGTTTACGCAAACATTCCTCCTTTCAGATATCGAGGATGAAGAAGATAGCACCTTGACCATAGAGGGAGATGAAGGTTCAGCCACATAGCAATCAGAGGACATCAGGCAGGGAGCAACAAGAGGCATTAATGTTCCAGCAGCTAGAGGAGTGGGCTCCAGCTATGAGAAGGGGGTGGATGATGAGGTGGCAGACTGTCTGTGAGTGCTACCAAATGGAGAGGGGGAGTATTCTGATAGAGAGGCAGAACAGTATTGAAAAGATTATGGGGTCTATTCACTAAGCTGCCGTAGGCAGCCGAGTGAATGACCGACCTTAAGTGAAGTGAGCCGAACGCTGCTCGGCTATTCACTTCAGGCTGGTACGGCTGATTTCAGCTCAAATCAGCGGTACATCGGGTGGCTTCGGGTCGGCCGAACATGCTCGGCATGTTCGGCCGACCCCGGAGTGCAGAAGGAGTTCGACTCAGCCGATCCAACATCTGGATCGGCTAAGCCGAACCTCCGGCAGGCTACTTGCTGCTATTCGGTCTATTCTTATAGATGCCGTACAGCAGTGAGTGAATAGCCAAATGCCGCTCAGCAGCATTCGGCTCGGCTGTCCTACTCGGTCCCTCTGTAGGACCGAGCAAAACAGAAAAATTGTTTAAAAAGTAGAAAAAAATAAATAGAAAACGATTGTGCGGAGCTAACAGTGACAGCTAGCTCCGCCCAACTGTTTTCTATTGGCCGGCAATTCTGCTGCTCTCAAAAAAAGAAAAAAAAAAAATTTCGCCATAGGAATGCATTGCTTGCTAGCAGAACCAGCGGGAAATTTGAAAGTTAAAGAAAAAAAATCATACTGCCAGTGAGGTAGCCAGGGAGGTATAAAAACGAGCAGCAGCTAGACATGGGACACTTCTCATTAGAGGTAATTTTTTTTTACACTGCAACTTTCAAACATGTTTTCCCTGGAGTTCAGCTTTAATATATAATAGTTTTCTTACTTTTTGTGTAACATGGGGGAAGCTACAATTTAATTCCATTGTACATAAAGTCGTCTGGAAACTGATCAGCATGTTGAATCATTCATTACATGCTGTAACTTTATCACATTAAATCTTTAAGGTGTTCAACATGCTGCAACTATTACTTTGCCAAACTGACAGTGTGCTCCGTGTGTATGTTAATGATTTCCTATTGTCAGCTTTAAGGGATGTAAACATCAGTGCTTTATCAACACAGGGGTTTGGAACTGGCTAATTGAGAATAATTGAAATATTTGGCATATCCATTTCCCACAGACGCCCAAATGAAGCTGATAAGCCCAAACTTGCTCAGTGTTAAAGCTGGGGAGGAAAGGCAAACTTGCACTGGTATATTTGGCTGCAGGCAAAATCCTTTGAAGAGCAATGTGAATATTATTTGCTGGGTTATGAATCTGCATGTTGAAGCCTATTTAAGAAAGGACGCTAGTGGTACTCTTAGCCAGTAGGGATATTTTTTCGTTCCTGGAAGCTGTACATTCTGTAGGTTTTTTTTTATTTTTATCTTTTATCATACTGTCAGTTTGAATGGGTGAATAAGGGTCAGTAGTATAAAAATGAACAGCACCTGTTATGGCTACTGCAGTAGTGACTCTGTACTCACGGGGAGCAACCGCACCAGCATCAGCTCCAATGAGAACTTACTGTCAGTTCGCTGTGGTCCAACAATGATTAATTCATACATAAGCTTTGGCAGCGAGCAGTCCGGCAACTCAAGGTATGACATTTCGGATAATTACAAACTTTTTAAGCATTAATATACTTTTGATGTATATGATGTGTCTGTTCAATTTATTTTTTGGAGGGATATTCTCTAGTAATTCAGTCTCTTGCTTTTTTTTCTACTTATATTTTCTGTAATTTTTTTCATTTAGGCTAGACATGCTGCAACAAATAGCAAGCCGAGTGCAGAGGGATAGCCTCGGATGTGAAGACAAGCTGATTCTAGCTCGCAGTGCTCTCCAAGCTGTGAGTTTTCCAACACAGTTACATTACAATACTTTCCTTGTTAGATCTCCACACTTGTGTTGGCAGTCAGTATTTTGAAGACTCACAATTTAATAATGCCGTCTAACTTAACACTTGGATATTAATCATATTATTTTTTAGTTAAATAATGTAAAAACATTTACTGCTGGGAGTCACTTATTATTAAATAATTATGGCATATAATAAATGTAAAACCTAAAACTATAATGTAGACAGTAAAACAAAATAATAAATAGAGTGTGTTGTGTTTAATAATAGGATAGTAAAAGGATGGAATCGGGCATACAGTTTCAAAATGATGGCGAAATTGCTGGTTACCTAATTGAATGTGAGAATCTCTTGCGACAGCAGCTTGTTGATGTCCAGGTCCTTGTGGATGGAAAGTATTACCAAGCAGATCAGCTGGTACAGAGGTAACTTATGTCTACATAGTGAAAACATGTTTGCCTTGTGTAATTTGTCTGGCACAAGGCTTTATTGAAGTTGTCTAAATAATTGATTGATGTATTTTTGTTATGCATGTGCTAGCTTTTCTGATGAAAACTAATGTAATTTATACACAGGGTTGCTTCTTTACGGGATGAACTGCTATCGTTAAGAAATGAATACTCATCTTTATACAGCAAAGGAAGGATGTTTTCATCTGACCAAACACAACTTATGATATCAGGAATATCACAAAGCCTCAACTCAGGATTTTCACAAAGCTTGAACCCTGCAATGAACTCTAGTGTATCCCACAATATGGCACCCATGTCACCAACCAGCCATACTCCAGGGATGTCCGCCAGCCTGAATCCTGGTTTTTCCAATAACTTCACCCAGGGTATGGCCGCCAACCTAAATCAGGGTGTTTCTGGCAGCATGTCTCCTTCTCTCCAACCTGTTCACACACCTGGTCTGCCATCCAGCCTTACTACAAATTCTCATGGCTTTAACTCACAGTTATCTCCTGCTATGACACCAGGGTTTGCACCAAGTTTTAACCAAGGTTTAAACCAAAACTATGCAACTGGGATGAACGCAAATGCATTACAGTCACTCAAGCTCATGCAGGTTAAGAAACCTCTTTTGAAGTCATCTTTTGCTGACCAAAATTTGCCTGAAGAAGAAGTCAACCTTAAATATGTTCAAGATCTCTGTAACTGGGTGGAAGAGATGCAGGTAAAATCTTTGGATTTAGTCTTGGAAGAGTGTGCGATTTGTTAGTATGGAATATAAGGCAATCTACGTACCTTGCAACAAATGTGGGCCAATCTCACAGGAGAGATGTTGTATGGGATCTCCTGTACATCGACTGGGTTTAATTTGTGAAGCAATAACAAATGTCACCTCCACCATGACCAACACTTCTTGCTGAAGAAATTATGGATAATGCTTAGGAAGTTTTTGCACTTATGTTAAAAGTCTTGAGTGTTGGTTAGATCACTTCATTTAATGGGGTGAATGCAGCAATCCAAAAAAGCTTGTTGTCAGAACTGTGCTGTTCACATACCTAGAGTCCAAGCAGTTTGGGAAAACACATCTCTATCAGAGCTATAAATCTTTACGTCACACCTGTCACAATCTGCTGGATATCTTCTGCTAGTGGGGAAAGTTGATATAATATTTTAAACTCCACATGACTGTAAATACTAGGAGAGAACGCATGGTAGCTCTGGTAGGGGTTAACTTCCCTAACTGTCAGGGTCATGGCATGGAGCTGCCAACAGTTTTGCTAGATGGTGGAAAGATATTTTATGTAAAAGTGACATATTCCTATTTGCAAAGTAGAATGGAATACCTTCGTTTGCATGGTTTTAGCTATTTAAAAATAAAGGCGATTGAAATAATACCAACCATCTTGATGTTTTCGGGCAGATACAACTGGACCGAGGAGAATGGGGTTCAGAATTATCAAGTATTGAGATGCACTTAGAAAATCACAAAAACTTTCATGGGGGTATTGAAGAATTTGAGACCAGTCTTAAAGAGGCAAGAATGACTGAGGTATTTATTAAAAATGCATTCACTGCTCTCATATTGTCTCCAGCTATATATGTATTTATTGTTTTTGTGTAGCAGTTTTCCTACAGAACCAGTTTAGTTTCAGTGCGTTGCTTTGTGGTAGCTTTGCTTGCAATATATATTCCTTGCCGTTAAAAGACTAAACGCAGGACATTTAATCTCACAAGTTAAATATATTTGTTCTGTACCTGCCACATGTGTGATTATACTTTGGCTCTTAGAACAGATCACGCTATGCCTGTGCTTGCAGGGAAATTCTGACATTAGCACTTGCGAAATATAATAAAGCAGTGTACATGTAATGCCTCTCGTTATAAATGAGTGCATAGTTTTACCTTCTGTTACCTGAAGACTTTAAAGAATTTTAGTTTTCTGAGAAATCCTGTGTGAGTTTTGCTCTTGCAAGTTCACATTTCAAATGAAGATATATAGCCTTCCCAAAGATATAAGATTGATAAAACATACACATGTGATCATTTGGATATACCTGTTAGATGATTTGCAGCCTTCTGAAAAAAAATATGATGGATATTTTTTTGTGTCCAAATAAAATACATAAATCAAATTAATTATCATTTACAAATGTCTTCTTTATGTCTTGTTACATTAGGGGCATAATTATATAGCAGTGAATGTTCACCTAACAGTCACATCAGGTAACTCTTCCTGGTGCAGGTGTTTTAAATGACAGTGATTGGTGAATATCACATTCACTGCTTTATAAATATACCCCTAAGGCTTACAGGGTTATTCACAAAAGGGTAAAGAGTTTTGAGAAGGCAGGAGAAGTGAACAATCTAGGACAAAATAGCTGATTTGGATAAATTCTCCAATTCAGCTTACTTTCCAGTACAGCTATGTTGTCGTAGATTGTTCACTTCTCCTGCCTTCTCCAAACTCTTCACCATTTTGTGAATAACCCTGTTAGTTGCTCATATGTGATGTTCTGATGTCTTTGTATAATAACTTAACTCTTCACACATTATTTATAAGGCTGGGCATCCACATCTTCATTGCACATTATTCAACATTTCCGTAAATATTCTTATTAACATGATTACATATATTGCTTTTCCACATTTAACTTCTGTGTTATTTTCTTACCAACTTTCTATCTTTACAGCTTCAAATAACTGGCCCTTTGAAATCTTCATACTCTGATACTGTACACAAAGTCGAGGGCCTTTATTCCAAACTGCTGGTAAGTATTTTTTTTCCGCAGGCAGCATTTGTGACAACATAAATACTGTATAGTATGGGGTTTAGATATGTAAACATTTGATCTTTTAGTGGGGTGAAAAACAGAACTGATTGTAGGGAAACACTTATTTATTGGTCTTTCAACCCATTAGCATTTGAGTACAAAGGCTGGTGAGTAGTGGGCCATTTTGGACATAATTCATCATTATCCCTTATTTCTCATTAATGCCGCCTTCACGATGCATAATGTACAGACTTTTCATGGCATTTCCTTTCTCTTTTTTTTAACCTTAAACAATATAAGAGTTCATCAAGAAACCGACATAAGAACCTAGACTGCCTACACAGTTTTGTACAAAGAGCCACACGAGAGCTCATATGGCTGAATGAAAAAGAGGAGGAGGAAGTAGCATATGACTGGAGTGATAGAAACCAAAATATATCTGCTAAAAAAGACTATCATGCTGTAAGTATCATCAATCTAAAAGTGTCTTTAATATGTGGAAACAGTTACTGAAAATTACTTTCACCCAGTTTATCTTAGCAATCCTTTGTGCCTGAAAAGCAGCAATAGTTTAATAGAAATGGACATTCTCTACTATGAACTTTCACATCTTTTTGAAAACGTTAGTACACTCAGTAGCATGTAAACAGAACAATCCTAATTAGTGAATGGGCACTACAATGGACAATACTTTAAGAAATAGTTTGGGCAGTAAAGCATTTGGTGTGACACTAAATTTATCAGTGCAGTCCTACTATAACATTTTTTTGCTGTGGGGCTCTCTAGAGATCTAACCCAAATCTGTGCATGTGTCAGAAGATGCGCTTTTATTGCAGATTTCTTTTTTTAGCATTCTTTTTTTATTAGCTTTATTAAACATATCTGTTAGATGTTGTTGTGTTTGTTTCCAAACCTTCCATACAAAATAAAAAAATATCTTTAGAATGAACTAGCATACTGATAGTCTTTATTTTACATACAATGAGACAGAGTACAAATAGACTAGCTTTGAAGTGACTTTGATGTCTTTGTTTGCAAAGGATTTGATGAGAGAACTTGATCATAAAGAAGAAGTTATGAAATCAGTGCAGGACACTGCAGAGCAGATGCTTCTTCAGAATCATCCTGCAAGAGCCACTATTGAGGTTAGTATTTCAAATTCTTCTGACGGTGGCTATGGTGTGCTGGCGTACAGGTTCCTGTGGTGAACAGGTGTAATGTGCCCTAGTGCAGCTGAAGTTATTCCAGCATATGCTTCTGCTGGAGAAGACATTTTTGTCTCGCATGCCTTTGTTTGTTGTTCCTTTTTTACCATCCTGCACTGGAAGTAATTTGTAGGATTATTTTGAGGTTTTGCTGTTTTGTGTCTTTGGCATTTTATTTCTTAGTACTTTTTGTTTTCATTTTTGTCTTGGAATTTTGTATACAGTGTTGTTGTCAGTAAATCAAATTTATTGTGCATTTTTTCCAGGCTTACAAAGCTGCCATGCAGACTCAATGGAACTGGATTTTACAGCTCTGTGGCTGTGTAGAACAACACATACGACAGAACACTGCCTACTTTGAGGTATTTTATCAGTGCAGTTGCAGTTTTAGTTGCTGCATACAAAGTGCGTTGATGATTTTGTCCTTGAAAGGGTCTTTCCACAAGAACTTCTACATAAGGATAAGGATGTGATCCTTTATGCATTCCTCTAGAAGTGAAGGCAATTCTTGACTAGCACACCCTCTGTACAGTCCCTTAAGATGATGTTTTGAATGGTCATGTTGAGATGCAGTTCCTCAGTGTGTTTACAGAGTAATATAATTACCTTTTAATACTGTTCCCTTATCATAGTAGCCCCACCTCTTATGACCGAGCCACTCCCAAATCTATGTAAACCACACCCAGAACCTCCCAGACCTTACCCATGTATTTTTTTTGCTGGAGCTCCTCCCTGCCACATGGACATTCTTGTGACAGCTTGAATGCTTACACCATTATACTCCCATATGATCATTATCTTTGAAATTCTCTGTAGGGAGGAGTTAAGAGTGTTTAATATCATAACATCATTTCACTTATCTTGTTGTTCAAGTGTAAAGCCTACATATTCCCCTCATGGCATTCCTTTACTTTCCTCAGTGCTAGAAAATATAAATGTTTTCTGATTTAAAAACTATAATTTCTTGCTCCTTTTTAAATTAATTTTCCTTAAAAGAGAACTATGGGGTAACCTTTTTATCCCATAATTCTCTCTAGGGTCATGGGAGGACATATACTAACATCCTCCAGTGACCCAAAGCTCGCCATATACTGCAAGCGATGCAGCCGGAATGGAGAATACTGTCAAGATCCATCCAGCTGACTGATTGACAGTGAATTCTGCCTACCTAGAGGCAGAGCCAGCTGTGCCAGAACCCCCACCACCCTCTCCATTCCCTCCCCCC